CAGAAGGAACAATAGGAGGAAGGGAGAGAAAGGAGTGAAAAGGAAGAGGGAAGGGAAGGAAGAGGGAGGGAGGGGAATGGTAGAGGAAGGAAAGAGGCAGGGAAGGAGGGAGGGAGAGGTGGATGGAGGAAAATAGGAAGGGAGAAGAAGGAAGGAAGGAAAGCAGACGGGAGGGAAAGGAAGGAGAATTGTAGGGGAAGAAAAGAGGAAGGAAGGAGAGATGGGAAAGAAGGAAGGGAGGAGAATTGTAGGGGAAGAGAAGAGGAAGGAAGGAAGGAGAGATGGGAAGGAAGGAAGGAAGGAAGGAAGGAAGGAAGGAAGGAAGGAAGGAAGGAAGGAAGGAAGGAAGGAAGGAAGGAGAATTATAGGGGAAGAGAAGAGGAAGGGATGGGAAGAAAGGAAGGAAGGAAGCAAAGAAGCAAGGGGAATTGAAAGGAAGAAAAGAGGAAGAAAGAAGAGATGGGAAGGAAGGAATGAATGAAGGAAGGAAGGAAGGGGAATTGTAGGGGAAGAGAAGAGGAAGGACGGAGAGATGGGAAGGAACGAAGGGCGTGCAAGTATTGAGAGAAAGCAAACAGAAAAAAGGCAGTTGGAGGAAGGAAGAAAAGAGAAGAAAGAAGGTGGAAGGGAGTGAAGTAAATTGATGAGACTCTCATTCTTTCCCTGTCTTCCTTCTAGAACTTGAATCACCACGTCGTCGGTTGGATCGATTGGAACCTGGCCCTGGATTTACAAGGGGGACCAAACTGGGTGAAGAACTACGTGGATAGTCCCATCCTTGTGGACATCAGCAGCGACAGCTTCTACAAGCAGCCCATGTTCTATCACCTGGGGCACTTCAGGTGTAACCGCCGGGCTGGGCTGGGCTGTGGATGTTTGGCCATTGTGCCCCCCAAAAAGTGACCTTAGGGGGTTAGGAGTAGTGATGAAACTTCGGATCAGATTCTTGGCCTTTTTGGGTCTGTAGAAGACCCCAAGGAGAGCTGGGTTGGAAGAAGGCAACAAAGGGGTTAACCACCTCTACCTCGTGAAAACTCAGTCTAAATCTGGTGTGTATTTTAAGGATATGCTAGGTTTAAGTCCACCGTCAACCATAGATGCTCAACTGAATTTTCAAGTCAATTGGCTAACGTTAAGTTCAACCAATTAACCTGAAGCTCAACTGGAAATCTGAGCTCAGCCATCCAGCCTTAAACTCAACTGACTAACCAATCAGCCAACGTTAGGTTCAATGAGCCAATCTTAACTTCAACCAGCCCACCCTAAGCTCATCTGATTAACCTTAAGCTCAACGAGCCGATCTCAAGTTCAACCAGCCAACCTTAACCTTAAGCCTTAAACTCAACCAGCCAACCTTAAGCTCAACCAATTAATGTTAAGGTCAACAAGCCAATCTTAAGCTCAGCTGATTAACCTTAGGCCCAACTGGCCAACCTGAAGCTCAACAAGCCAACCTTAAGCTCGGCCAACTCATCTTAAACTCAATTGGCCAATCTTAAATTCAATCAGCCAACTGTAAGCTCGATGAACTAACCTTTGGCCCAATTGGCCCAACTTAAACTCAACAAGCCAACCTTAACCTCAGCTGACTAATCTGAAGTTCAACTGATCAACCTTAAGATCAACCAACTAATGTTAAACTTAACCCGACCAACCTTAAGCTTGATTGACTAACCTTAGGTGCAACTGGCTAACCCTTAAGATCAACAAGCCAATCTTAAGTTCATCTGGCCAACCTGAAACTCAACTGACAAATCTGAGGCTCAGTTGATTAACCTTGAGCACAACTAACTAACTTTAAACCCATCCAGCCAAACAAGATCAACTGACTAACCCTTGAGGTCAACTGGCCAACCTCAAACTCAACTGCCCAACTTTAAACTCAACCAACTAACCACCCTACACGATTATCACTTTGGGGAAAAAGTGAAGGGGAATGTTTTGTGTACCATCTTTAAGGCACAGCTTTTCAGGGAACCCCCCCCCCCATTTCATGCTCAGGATTTCTAAATTGGTGGATCCCCTTCCCCCCCCGGCGGGATCTCTTCATCCTCTTCTCCTTTTTCTCCCCTCGTAGCAAATTCATTGTCGAAGGATCTCAGTGCGTTGGGCTGTCGGTGGTTAAAACTGACTTTAGTTGCAACCTGGAACACGTCGCGGTGCTTCGTCCCGATGGATCGGCAGTACTGGTGGTCCTTAACCGGTGAGTGCCAGTATTCCAAACGTCTGTGCTTTCAAAGAGCCAAGTTTCTAGTTCTCATGAAGAGGTTTTTTTTTATTTTTTGGTCCTTTTCAAACGCATCTCACTTCAAAGCAGGCTATCTGTCAACTCATAAAATATTTCTAGGGTCTTTTTAGAATTTCCAACAGAAAGAGGGGGGGGAAAGGGGTTTGAAAGAGCAGTGCGGCAGCTTGGAAGCCGAAAGTGCATTCCACAAATAGTTTTTCAGAGATAGTAACTAAATGATCGAAGTTTTCACCTCGCAAATATCAAACTGGAGAGCATGATGGATGACTCTGGGCTATGGAGGTGTCCCATTGGGGAATATGAATTACGATACACCCAGGGGGTCAGGGGGAAAAACCAAGGTCAAAGGTGACAATGAATGTTGTGTCTCAGAGTTGGTTACACCCAGGCAGTGCCGGACATGGTAACTCCCAATAAATCCTTTGGAAGTTTTGGAAGTTTGGCTGGAGACTCATGATTTAATTGGGGGGAACTGCTAGAATCCGGACACTATCCAAGGTTCACGTCACTTAAGATAACATATCGCGTGAACAAATTGTATCCATTCTCTCGATTTGTGTGTGTGGGCTTCTGGACTCAAAAACGAATCACTTTTTTCGGGGCGGCATATAAATTTAATAAATACTTGGGAAAAAAATGTAGAATGGCAGTCGAAAAAATAAGCGCCCATTTCAGTGGTCGGAATCTTTCACACCTAACTAGGCGTCAAAGCCTCTAGCAAACTGCAGGAATTAGCAACAACCCAAATAAAAACTTGTGATAAATAACACTGGAGTAAAAGTAAGTTACAGTCGTGTGCCTGTTTTGTGATTGTGTTTCTGCGTTCTGTTTCTCCTCTCTTTTTCCCTTCTCCTTTTCTTATTTCCCCTCCTCTCTTCTTTCCCATCTTTTCTTCCTTCTCTTCTTTTCCCTCTCACAGGTCTTCGTTCAACTTCACCTTTGGAATTTCCGACTCGGTTGGTTTTATTTTCACCCAAATTCCCGCCAACTCCATCCAGACGTATCTCTGGCGGCGCCAGTAAGAAGGGAGGTTTTTTTTTTTTTTATACCGAGTACCAGTAGCCAGAATAGCTTACTAACCCTCTCGAGAGACGGGATGGCGGCTCAGCCCAATGGATTGCGTTTTTCTAGGAGATAAACCTTGACGGTGGTTGAAGAAGCCGACATTTGAGGCTTGCCGGCATGAACAAACCGCGATTCCTGAAGCGTTTATCGATAGATGGTTCAAATGAACCAAAACCAAGGTACTCCTTCAAATGTTCTGCCTGGGAAATTTCTTGGCAAGACTGTTGACTTCAGTGCTGTGTGTTTCCCGGTCCACTTCAATTAAGCCTCAAATCCTGGCTTACAAGCCACAGGAACACTTAACCACAACCAGCTGCCTGCAAGCCAAGTTATGACTTTCGTCTCACGGAGCTCAGCCTGGATGAGGTGGGCGGTGGTCCATCTTGTTCCAGACGCCCAGCTACTTCGTGGTCAGCATTTCAAATTAAGCTGTTGGGATCATCTTTAATCTGGGTTGTTGTTGTTTTTTCTTTTTTCCATCTTCAAATTATTTCCGGTGTAACTGACAACGTGATACACCGATACTTAGCTGATTATCTTTACTAAGATCTGCCTTTCTTCGGCTCCAGATTGTCCTGCACAAAGGAGAATTAAATGACCTTGTGGCTTATTATTGCTGTTGTTATTGGTTTGTCGCACAGCCAGCCAGATGTTCAGACTGGATTTGGCATTTCTGTACACCCCCTGAGTCCTTTCCAAGGACCTGGGATAGCCAGATGTGAAGGTTTGACAGTGTTACTTGTGGGATGTCAGCAGTTTCCGAGCCATGCTGACATCTGAAATGTTGAAAAGGGTTTTGGACAATTCGTGCAAAGTAGGCCAAAAAGGTTCAAATAGAATAACTTGAGTTGGAAGGAACCTTGGAGGTCTTCTAGTCCAACCCTCTGCTTGAGCAGGAGACCCTATACAGGTCATCCCCTCATACCTACAACCACAAATGAGCTTTCGACTTCCACGGCGAAGTGAGGTGTTTGTGGAGTGACTTCTGCCCCGTTTTATGACTGTTCTTGCCATGGGTTGTTAAGTGAATCGATGCAGTGGTTTAACTTAGCAACGTGGTTGTTAAATGAATCTGGATTCCCCCCCCCCCAGTGACCTTTGCTGGTCAGGTCTCCTCCACAAGGGATCACATCACCGTCATAAATGTGAGTCGGTAGCCAAGCCTGGGAGTTTTGATCGTGTGACTATGGGGATGCTGCAGTAATTGATTGCATTGTTTTTACTATCCTTGTTCTGACTCAGCTCCCCAAAACGTGACAAACCCTCTTGACGTGAACTCAAAAAAGATTCCTTATTCGGAGCGCCAGCAACCCCCAGCAAAAAATTTTCTCTCTCGTCTGTCCGGAAGGTGAATTGTTGTCTGCCACATCTGTTCATCTCCACCCTCTGCCTTTTATCCCCAGAGATAGGGTGGGGTTTCGTTAGCAGCGGTAGCTCTTCCGTCCCAAGGACCGGCCCATAGATTTCCACTGCTCTCCTCTCCTCTGCACATCAGGCATTTTACTCAGCTGTTCCTCCTCTTCCTCATCAGCCACCTCCAGACCTGGGGGCTGTTGATACTCCATCTGAGGGCTGATGGACAGCCCAGGCTCTCTCTCCTCTCCTTTCTCTCCTTTCTCTTCTCCCTCTCTCTCTTTCTTCTCTCTCCTATCTTTCTCTCTTCTCTCTTTCCTTTCTCTCTCCTCTCCTCGCTCCCCTCTCTCTCCTCTCCCTCTCCTCTCTTTCTCTCTTCTCTCTCCCTTCTCTTCTCTTTCTCTCTCTCCTCTCTCTCCTCTTTTCTCTCTCGCCTTTCTCCCCTTTCTCTCTCTTCTCTTTCTCTCTTCTCTCTCTCTC